ACGTATTTTACAGTTTTCTCATAAATCGTATGCCATTGTGTCCGCAAATTATAGAGGAACAGTGGGGAAAATGTAAACAGGGATAAAATGCAACTTCAGAAAAACCAGTCAGAAAAATAGTAAAGACATTTTTAGTTTGTTATTGCCATTTGTATATCATTTTTTACTTGTTACTTTATTAGTTTTACTTCTCAAAAAATCTAAGTGGAAATGTGAAAATTTTGGGAATTACTGGTTACATAGACTTGAACTTCCTTGGGACAAACAAAATGAAAATTGTGATAAACAATTATATAATATCACAATATTAGTAAAATCAGCAGCAAACTTTCATCGATAAGGTCAATAAAAAGACCAAATAAAAACGTCGTATTTAATTTTTAGTTCCTAATTGTGCACTGATATACAAATTATTTTTATTTGTGGAAAGCCCAAATAAAAGTGTTCTCATTACTTTCACATTGAATAACTCCCTAAATGACCATTTTTAACTATCAATTACATTGCTATATAGTTTTTAGTTGGCCATTACTATTTTAATCGATCACATTGTTCCTGCTATAATAATTTTTTACTGTAACTTCTAAAATAATTATGGATTTTATTATTCTATAAGTGCTCATAGTTAAGTATTCTAATTAGGTATGTATTTCCCTGAAAAATGGACTGTAAAGATTTATTCGACATTACGAAACATTATAAGAGCTTTACAATGTTTGATATCGGGGCATCAAAATTAAATTTGGGGTCTTGGCAAACCACACTTATGAATATTTATCAGATCATCTGTTTACAATTGTAACTTTTGTGTTTCGCGCTGTAACAAAAGTTCGTAAAGTTAGAAAAGACCATCAACGGTTACGTCAAATTTTGTTATCCTTAGTGAGTACCAAGTTTCTAAAACGAAAACTGACAAACAAGCAAAGATTCACGAATGAGAAGAAGAATAAGAATTGACTTGTCTTTCTGGGCGTAAGACGAGCATTAATTTTGAACAGTTGCAGCGTCAAAAGCGACGCGACGGATCGCGACGCGGTCCTGGCGCAGTAGCAAAACAAAAATGTTTTATTTATGAGGTGCCGGTCAAGTTCTATCCTGTCGCAGTATTTTCTACCCTTGCCGTGTTGTGTGGACAACCTTTACGCCTCCATCGGGTTACAATTTATAACGACGCTGCCCTTATGCTGCGGCTTTACTTTTTAAGGGATGAAAATGTCAACCGCTCCTGTTTGTATACATTGCGTCAACCAACGATTTAATCCATTAGAAAAAAGGAAGTTCGAAATCTAACATCCGGGATAGTATTTTCATAATTATGATTTAATAATCTGCATGCAATAAGGAGGAGTTAGAGATAGCATTAAAAAAAAATGGAAGCCATATTGTCAAAACAGTATTGTATGAAAATAAATAAAAGTAAAACAAAAATAATGGCACACAAGGGAAGAAAAGTAGGGAATGAGCGTATATAAAGTTAGGAGAGGAAAAATTGGCTGATTATTGACGTCTAGGAGGTCAGATAAGTCAGGGCGGAAGAAGTAGTAGGGATATAAAGCAGAGGATAGCGCAGGGTCGAGTCGTCTTCAATAAAACGGAGTAACTTCAATGCTCGCGTACGGTAAATTTAGAAATTCCGGAAAGACTGTTAAAGGTCAGAAACCTTCGGAATGTGGTAGAGAAAAGAGGATTCTATGGAAGTCAATAAGAAATAGGCGAAATAGGTCCGTAGGACACTTTCTCAATGATGAAGGTCTAGTTAGAGACATGTTAGAGGTAGAAACAGGCGAAGGTAGGACGTTTTTTGTTTAGGGAAATGCGAAGATTGCGTGCCCAACCAGTCCTAAGACTGACGACTTTGTGATGATTAAGATTAAAAATTATTTCTTATTTAATACTCCAATTTAACGAATAGTCATATCAAAAATAATTATCTGTAAAGATTACACCACTTGTATCATTAAAATGGGACACAATTATCCTGAGAGTAAACTGTATGATGAAACATTTGAATTGGCTAAATTATTAAGTAAAGAAAAAACCTTAAATCCTAATAGTTTTTTATGTACCTACGTTAAATCCTTAATGTTTAATTTCATTTTAAGAGTAAACTACTGTTGTATTTCTCTTAAACATTTAATGGAAATTTTCATATTAACCAATGCCTTCATGCACAAATTAATCGCATACGTTCCCGAAAGATGATAGATGTGTATAAACGGAATATATAACGAGAACAATCAGTCGAAATTAATCAATGGTGTTGCGCATACTGGCCTCATCAATCCATTGTAGGTACTGTTAGTTACACAAACGAAATGTTATTATGTTTGCATGTCATCCAATCTAAACAATACATGTACAACTCATACATATATATATATATATATACGCATATAACGATCCCCAACTAGCAAAATTTTTAAAAACTTGTCTCGCTTAATTATCAACATCATGTTGATGTCACATTAAAATGAAATTAATTTATAGAAGGATCTATGCTAATTGTTTATTGCTGTAGTGTAAATTAAAAGTTAAGACATGTTTGAAAAATTGTGATTATTTATCACTCATTGGGTTGTTAACTATAAGAAGTTTTGAGATTAATTACTGTTTCCATGATAATATTTTGTTTAACTATTGTAGCGAGCACGAGTGTGTTTGTGTGCGATCGGGCACACGTGTGCGTGAACGGCTTATCGATTCGCCGACTAGCCGCGGGCGCCTTTCTTCATGTGCGCCGTATTTGTAAATGTGTGTGTTGTACCTGCGTTCTGGGAAAGCAGTTAAACAGTTCAAAGAAAAAAATAAACTATCCGGATGTTTCTAGAAGGTTCCCGAAAGTAAACAAAAGAGTATTTAAAGGAAGAGACGATCATCGAGAAGAGGAGAAATAAATTGACCGTTGCAGAAGTGAATCAAGAAATAAATACAGTGATAGCAGTGAAATAAATGGCGCAGTGAATAGTGATATATTAATAATTTAATTGTTGTACCTAATCGCTCTTCATGGCAAACATTTTATACGCCTGTGTCAACCAAGGCAGAGATTTGAAAATATAACGATTTAATATAAAATTAAAACCCTGCAGTCGTGTTTAGAATTTCCACACTTTTTCGCTGCTTTGAACCCTGATAATTGTTTGGTAACTAGCGAACTTCTCTAGAGGTCGCCAAAAAAAAAGCGAAACAATACTAGGCAATACTTTTTCATTTTCTTTTCTTTCAGTTTAAGAAGCCGTTGTACAGCGAAACAATTGCCGTGGACAATAAAAAGTTATTTTTAATACTTTTCTTTATTTTTCTGAAGTATTTAAAATGGACATTTTCTACACAGTATCGCCTATAACCATAAAACTTTCTAGAGTTTTAATTCCTGATTGAAGTCAATTTCTGTCAAGCAAGAGTATTAGATTCAGTCAGTTACATATTTCAAAGATTAATATAAAATTCTCTCTAATATATAGGGCTACATTTTATTTTTGAATTACTGAAATTAACAAAATATAAAAATGGTCCGTGTAGGTATTACTTTATTAATAATTTATGCGTTGAAGGAAGGGTGAGTTCCTCATAGTTGTGATAAATTGGGGTGAGTCTTCTTTTTCCTTTACTGAGTTTATTTTCTTTTACTATATAAATCCTGGCAAGTTGTTAATTATTTTCAATAGGTACAATTGATTCTGATTCAATTTTTCTTAACGCAATACAAGCAATCAACTCTCCAACTTTCCAGAAAACAATTGCCTTTCAAATAAGTTCTTGGGGTTTTAATTATATGGAAGGAAGCGTGGCTACATGCCTAATCATTTAAGAGTCTGAACATGCATTCAGCATTTAAACTTTTGTACGCGTTTAATTAGTTGCGTCGTCTACGTACCTGATGCCTGATGAAATGCGGGCTTTCCCGACCAGTTCGGCTCGTCGGGTAGGTAGGTAGGTATGTAGGTATAGGGTTGTACGAATGCGGGAGAGAGGCTTTGTGTTGCTACCCTTTGTTTCAATACTACGCCAACTTGATCATAACAATGGCACCGGGTTAATTCCGCCTGCTAACTCGTTAAATGCCGCAAAACTCGAAGACATAGCGAAGAGAGTCTGCATCATGTTCCCAAGAAGGCAGACGTAGAAGTTCACATTACTGATATAAAATGAAACTGAAACAATAGAAAAATATGAATTTATACGTATAAATAATATATAATCTTTCAAGTCTTTTTGTGTCTTTATTTCGTCTATTTCAACTTTCCCCACGACTCCTAAAAGGAGATTGAAGAGAGCTTTCCGACCCGACCTACCTACCGGATTTTCACCACATTTAAAGCCGTCAGCATTATACTTCGTTTACTTTCTGTAGCGATGTGACCTTCAGTTTGATCGGCGCAAAGTAGAAAAGAACGGCACTAGGCCAGAAAAGGAAGGAGACAACTCTCGGCCAAACTCATAACCGGTGAGGAGCGTATAATCCGTACAGTACTGCACGGAAAAATTGACCATTTTATCCACTACAATTGCATTGCTCAAATGTGCTGTTATTGGTACCATTTACTACTTAAAATATCAACGAGATGTTTATTTATATTTGAAAACATATTAAAGGCTTTAACGCTTGTTTTCGACTCGCACTACTATTCATGATTGAACAAAACTTTTGGCAGGTACTGTATGAAAAAGTATGTTTAATGAACAAGAGTCGAGAGCATAATGAGCTTTTTTCTCCCTTCCTACGATTTTGCCAGCGCGCATCGCTAGAGAAAGTAAATGAAGTATAACTAGTGGTAATAAGTTTATCGGAACTGTCTATGGTGTGCTAACGAGAACTAATACGCTCAAAATTGTATTTCATTTATAGAAATTACTTGTGCAATTATTATCATCTAACCTTTGTGTTAATTAGGCGTATAAATTAGCGTATGCATACATACATATATTATTTTTATACCTACGAATGAAGAATCAGACAAAACAAAATTCGTTAATGGAAATTTTTGTTTTTTTTTCAGATGAAGTGGCTAGCTTTCTGTGTGTTAGTTGTAATCTTAGTCACCTTGGCCATTGCAGACGGTGAAATCTGGGAAGAAGACGATCACGAAGTTTTGATAAGGAGCGAGCGCGGAGCCAAGAACCGCGGTAAGCGTAAGTCGGAGTGTTTTGTTTTTATTTTATTCATATAATGATTTTGGCTTATTTTTAACTAATTTTTACGTAAATATTCACTTTGGTTTACGTTAATTATTGCAATTAGCTTATTTTTTAAGATAAAAAATATCAAAATCATTTTTTTCTTACGTTTATAAACAATTACATTACGAAAAATATTTTGACTGTTTTTATTATTCTTAATACATGTAAGTAGATTAAAATTATCGCTGAATTAAATAGACAGTACATGTATCTTGCGTGCGTGGATTTGGCGGCTTCGCTAATGCATCATTCATTGTATTTGATGTGGACGTTTGCCAATTTTTCATATTTTTTTTAAAAGCGCTGCATAATTCATGCACTCGCGTCGTGATACGTGATTTGCAAACTAAACGGGACCGTTCATTATTCGATCCACCTTCCTACATTTAAATCAAACAAAAACCACATTATTCATCAAATTTATGTTTCGTTTGAATTCGATCGTACCGAATATCTTTTAAAATATATATCGACGAAAATATCAAGTATTACGTACGCAATAGACGCCAAAACAGTTGAATAAAACAAAACTAGAAAATGATACATCCAGGATTTATGTGCATTTATTTTTAAAGTGCTAGAAAAGAAAGAACTCCATTATTTAAATGGCTTTGCTTTTGGTTGGCGGAAAACGAGCTTTCTTTTTTTTATAAGTACCAAAGGGAATATGTGAATAATACGTTTGAACCCATGAATACAAAGCAGAGCTTTAAAATGCCACCCCCTCGTAATATGGACCCTTTGATCTTTCTCTTGTTGGTACATTTTTAATCCTGTACTACCACGTTATTCCCGTTTAGAAAATTTTAATTCGTATGCGTTTGCTACCTATCATTTTTACAGAAAATACTTTTATAATATTAAATAATTTTCATTACTAAACTAAAAGCTTTTTTGATGGAAACATAATGAAAACAATGTAAAGAGAAAACAAGCGAAAGCTTTCGAGTCAGTGAAGTGATCAAGTTCGACGTCACGATTCAAAATCATTTCGCCTATGAATTGAGTAGTTCAATTACATCAAAAACAAAGCGCGCTTTGTCATCAGTGCCATACAGACAAAGCTTATGCGAATATACCTACCACAAATATAGATAAATCCGATAAGACCTTACGTCAGTCAAATGGGAACAATAGAGCAGATATTACAGCTAGAATGTCGTATGTATTATCACAAAAAAGCCAAAAATTGTACTGTCTTGGCTAGTAGTTCATTTACATCAAATTGGAATGCCATTGTTTGTGACGTAATAATACTGTCAGTTGTTTATTTTTAAACAATTGGTTTAATGACATTATCGGCACAAACAAATGCATACAAAAAATGGTTTTTTAGTGTTTAATGCAATATTTCAAAAATTTGAGGGAATAACAGTATACGAATCTAAAAAAAGAAATCAATATGACCTATTTTTGCACTTGTAGGTACGATATTCATATCTTCATGGATAATAGGCTTTTGGGTTAAAAGGTGATCACATTGTAATTCTGATATGCCTCTTATATTAGTAGGTGGATGATGCTTGAATTATATTATCGATCTAAAGCAGCTTCTGAAGGGGGCAGCCAGTCGGATGTAATCGAGTGGCACCTAGCGCCACCTATACACTATACATATATACCATCATCAGAAAGATGGAGATAAGCAATTTTACTATTGAACCTGAAACATTCCCCAGTTACACACAACAACTGGCGGCAAGGGTAAAATAAAACACCCTCCTCGCGAATTTATCGTTATCACCTCGTAATGTTTACAGATAAAATAAAATTACCTTCACCTTGGAAAATACCCTAACGTGTTTCTAAAATGTTCTCGTCATTTCTCGTTCATCGAACATATTTCTCCAGGGCAATTTTAGAAAGCGTGTTCGGGAATCCATCATACATTTATATAAAATTGTTTCGATACATAAGATGCATACATATCATATGTACATATAAAATATTTGTATTATATCGGGTCTCTTTCATTATCTACTTGTTTGTTTGTTTATTTGGGACATGTAAACATAATATTTTATTGCTAAAATTTCAGCATTTGAACAGTTCGCTTATAGAATGTTGACTAAAAGTTTATTTATCTGAATTAGAAACGATTGCTCTAACTTTTTGACTATTTTGAAGAATAAGATTAACATTTTAACTAAAGCTATTGATTTTAAAGGCTTTTTGTTGATCATTTTAAATATATTAACCCCCGTTTAAGTTAGATATTACTAATAACGCATTTTGGTCAGGGTTTGGAATTCTGTTTGAATATTTANACGTTTCCATGGGGTATATTTTATTTGTACTCGGATTTACTCGAAGGTTGCTCATTGTTGAAATTAAGCAAATACGTGTTTTGGAAATTTTTAAAAATCAACCCTTAAGGATGATATGTTGTTGCTACGTTTGTAATTGAGATCTAAGATGGCGACATTGCATAAAATTAAAACGTTGTGAGGGTGAATTGGGAGTTAAAAGGTTTTATGGAGAAACAATATTAATTTCTGCGAGCGAATATGCAAGACCAAAACCAAATACGTAGATGAGACTAAATGAAAAATTATTGCTTCCTGTGGATTTATGAGTTAAACTATTTAAAGCAATTCTAAAATATCGGTTTCGTGGAACAAAGGTAAAGGATCATTTTGTGCGTTGCTGGAAAGGAAATTGTCGAGTTTTCATAATTCTTATAACTATCGACACTATTTTCTTTAAAAGTCATGACGAGCTTGCATATATGACAGAAAATCTTAGCATTTAGCATTTATTGCATCGGTAAATAGAAAAATTTGTCCTTAGAAGGCGTTTGTTGAAGTAGTTAAACTTACAGATTCCTGTTATGTGGATTCCTAAAAAAAATTTTTTAATAAATTGACGTAAAAGGAATGTAGAAGACTTTTTACAGCAGGAATAATTGAATAAGAAACATTCCGACGCGTTTTTAAGTAGTAGATATCGCAAAACCTTATTCGTATTTTTGGTTTTTCTCTGAAGTTTGCAGGACAGGTTAAGTGCAGAGTAAAACAAAATTAGAGTTTGCTTTTCAATGAGAGAAAACAAGAAACAAAAGTGGTTCTTGTAAATACGACTGTCAAATTAGAAAACAGCGATCGAACAGTGCCTTTCAGATTTTTCCGTGCCGTGGGATATGCTTGGGAATTGATTCGATTGTTTGTTTGATGAATAAGCCGACGTAGGTATCTAGTCGCTTGTGAGTGGTTTATGTACGTACGTACCTAAACATAAGCACAAGCTATCTCTCAATCTGCTTTAAAATAATGGCAGATAGGTACGTTTTGTTTCGATGCTTTTTGACAGAAGAACTTTAACAATCAAAATATGCTTTTCATATGCACGCTACGTTTTTCGTTTGTAGCATTTGACTGACATTATGACTCTTCGGAAAAATTGCTAGTTGGAACGAGACTGCATCACGTTTTGTTTTTGTTTTTATTCATTTTTTTTTTAACAAAAGCCTACCTGTACCTTAATTATAACTACCATCGCGTAGTGCAGAGTATTCTCTCTTTGAGTTTTAACTTTGGATAAAAGAAAATCAATGCAATACACAATATTGCTTAAAAGCAACCTTTGTTATCATTAAATGGGGAAAAATAACACAGTTAATGTTGTCCTGATTGGGGTGCAAAGACCGTCGTCGGTTTGAGTTGCTTCCTAACGCTTCCCTAGCAGGAGTGGCGGGCTTCACATGCAACATCCAACGGAGATGAAAGAACGTCTGAAGAAGTTCGCCACTCGTGCTAGCGAAACGTTAGGAAGCAATTCTGGTCGCAAAAGCCTTTATCAATTTTTCAAAGTAAATAACATAAAACAAACCAATAATTACGAAACGGGAAAATGAATATTCTCTGGATGGTTTTACTTCGATTTTATAAATATTTAAAAAGATTTTCAATTTGACTAGAAAAATTAAAAAAAATTACCTAAAGATTGAATCCCTCCATTAGATTAAGACTTAATTAAGAAAAGTTACAGTTACAATAATTCAAATTTTTCCCCTTAGGGTTTTATATTCTTGGAAAAAAATCCTAGCAACAGTTTGCGATCAAGTACGTTTATAAGGATATCTTAAAAGAGGGTTAATTCTTTTATTGTTTGTCGTAAAATAAAATTCTTATACATGTATGAAGGTACCTACCATGCAATCGCTTTTTTTGGTCTTTTTGTGTCTGTGAGAACTTGTATTATGTCCAGGTTCTTTGAGTACTCCTTTTGTTTAAACAACCCTGTAAGGCGACAAAAATAATGGTCTCGAGTTGCATGAGACAATTACTCCCTTGATTTAATTGTGCTTTGAGCAGTGGGTTTAATTTTCCGCCGTTCTCAACATAACAATAAACAAATAGCAATCAAAAGAAAAGAAACAGCTGAAACGAAGAAACAATTGATGGTACAAACGAAAGAAGAACGAAAAATCGGAAGAAATGAAATAAAACACTATCGACAATTTCCATACTTTTCATTGTTCTTTAACAATAATTGTTTCACCATTTTATGGCTTTTGCTATTGAGTAGATGAATAGATTCTATATGTAACTACTATTGACTAACTCAATTTGGACAGTATATAATAAAAATTGTTTTTTAACCGTCTATTGTTTGTTATCTGATATTGATTTTCGCATTTTCGTTTTAAAATCTGTAGCATTCTGGGTCACGTCGTTCAAACTTGCAACTCGGTGCATGTCTGTCCATAATCTTCTAGTTTAATTCACCCCCAAAGTGCATTTGCTGAAATCGCCTACAGGGGTAGTGCAGGATGCGAGGGACTTTATGGGGGTAGTGCAAAGCCCATTACGTTAATTATCCAAGTCAACTACCAACACTCACACCCATTCATGAATAATTAATGGACCGAAATTAAATATGGAAATTGGACTTGGCTGATTCTACAACTCGGCCGTGTCGTAGCGCCGTCATCTTTTTAGGCCCAAGCGACT